TTAGGGTTTGGGGTGTTGGGGTTTGGGATTTAGGATCTCAGGTTTGGGGTTTAGGGCTTCGGGGGTTTGGGGATGGGTAGTCTGATAACTTAGGGGTGTCTTGTTAGATCCCCGGTAACCCTAAACCCTAAACCATAATATCGTACGGCACCCTTACAAAAAGGACTTTAAGAAGGGACCCTAGTCTAGAGAACTACGCAGATCAGGCTTCAGGGATTGGGGCTCTTGGAGTTTGGAGGTCGGGCGTGGGCTTTTACGGTTGGGTTTAAGGTTTAGTTTTTGGTTATGGGTTTTAAGTGTTCAAGCTCGAATTTAGGGCTTATGTTTCAAATCTCAAGCCCTAAGCCCATCGACGAGGCAAATGTCCCCACACCTCCCAACAGACCAAAACCCTACAAACTCAATGCGCATAACCCCCAAAGAACCCAAGGAAGCCTCGTCTGTTGGCTCAATTAAAGAAAGGTCCGGGCAACTACAATACGATTTGCCCCAAAGCTTTCTTCCAATTCTCAACAGGCCCCCAACAAGGCCCTAACCCCGATAAAGCCTATAACCGCCACGTCAACCCCACAAAAGCGCTGTGTAGAACGACCCTAGTCTAAGGACATCAAAGCCCACCTAAATCCTGAACCCTGAACCCGAAACCCCGAAACCCTAAACCTCTAAACCCTAAACCCGTAACCCTAAACATCGAAACCCTAAACCCCTCAACCACAAACCCCTAACCCTAAACATCGAAACACTAAACCTCTCAACCCTAAACCCCTAACCTAAACATCGAAACTCTAAACCTCTCAACTCTAAACCCCTAACCCTAAACATCGAAACCCTAAACCTCTAAACCCTGAACACCCATAAGCCATTAACCCTATGGTAGCGGTCGGAGACCTTCAGCCGAGGTGCCCAGTGCTGGCGATACTTCTGATGGGTCCGGCCAGGCTGTTGGCGAGTGGAGTGGTGATGTTGGGGAGAAGACACCAGAGTTTTAGGGTTTAGGGTTTAGCATAGGGTTTAGGGTTTAGGGTTTAGGGCTTGGGGTTTTGGGTTTAGCGTAGGGTTCAAGGTCTGCTTTTTGACGCCTCTTTTCGTCTAGTGTTTTTTGGTTTTAGCTTTTGTTTTGCAGGGTTTGCAGGCTTCTGGAGGCGACTGGCAGGTTTTACTGCAGCCCACAGGGCTCCAGAAGGACCGATGGCAGCTTCACGAGAAGATCGTAGAACAGTCATAAGCGACCTAAGGTACTCAATACTTGGATTTTGCTTGAAGCAAGGTATTCGGGCATGGAGTGCATTAGGACGCCAGAAAAAAAAACAAAAAAAAACAAAACGACGCTCTATTCCCGAAAGCCCCCCACGGCTTGCCTGTGACCTGGATTTGCTGAGGTGCCGCCTAAGCTTGTCAGATCAGGAGGTGTGTTGGCTGCTGTACAAATTGAATATAGGGGCCTTCACAATTAGAATACGTAGGGTCTTGGGGTCCATTATTATCTAAATACAGTAAGGAAACCCCAAAATAGTGCTGGTAATTGTTTAAGCTCCTATATTAATTTGTCAGGGTCTCAGAGTTCTCTTCTGATCACTATGGCACACTACGGCATACTCGGGAGCAGTGGCATAGCAAGCAGTGCCCTGTCAAAAGCAGTCTGCACAGCTATGGCTGAACGAGTCGGTGCAGAGTTCGATGTGACAGTTGGAAACTCTAAACCGTAACCCTAAAACCTTGAACTCCACAGCCTAGAACCTAAAACCTTGAACCCTGAAGCCTAGAACCCAAAACCTTGAACTTTAAAGGCTAGAACCTAAACCTTAAATCCTAAACCCTAAAGTGATGAGCTGATGGGACCCGGAACCGAACATCGGATCTCAAAACCCTCAACAAAAACGTGTCTTTTCAGGTAAGTACCTAATCTGCCGAACGTGTATCTATCGGTTTATCTGTCTATCTATCTGTCTGTCTAGCTGTTAACCTAGCTAGCCATCTATCTATCTACCTATCTATCTATCTATCTATCTATCTGTCCGTCTGTCTGTTTATCTACCTATCGATCTGCCTATCTACCTACGTATCTATGCCATCTACTTGTTGGTACGTTTGTACATCTGTACATCTATACATCCGAACCCAAAGATCCGTGCAACAAAGCAACGCACACGCACAAAAAAAAAAACACGCCACGCACCCACACACACACACACAAACAACGAAGAAACTAACAAAGCAAGAACGACGCATGAAACAAACTGAACTAATGCAACGAACTGAAAAGGAAAACAAACCCAACAAAACGCACTGTCAACAGCACGGACAAACAAACAAACAAACAAACCAACAAACCAACAAACAAAACTCAGGCAACACAACAAACACTCAACCAAGCAAACATGCAAACAAGCCAGCAGGCCAGCAAGCCAACAAACAAACAAGCAAACAAACAAAGAACCAAACGAACAAACAAGCTAACTAACTAACTAGCTATAGATAGCTAGACTAAACTTATAACTTAACCTAATAAAACTAACGAACGAACGATCGAACGAACGAATCAACTAATTAACTAACTGACTGACTGACTGACTGACTGACTGACTGACTGACTGACTAACTAGCTAGCTAACTGACTGACTGACTGACTAGCTAACTAACCGATTAAAACAACTAACTAACTAACTACCTGACTAGCCAACTGGCTGACTACCTGATTAACTAACTAACCAACTAACTAACGAACTAACTAACTAACTATCTAACCAACAGACAAACTAACTAACTCGCTAACTACCTACCTACCTACCTACCTACCTACCTACCTACCTACCTACCTACCTACCTACCTACCTACCAACCTAGCCAACTAACTAACTTCCTAACTAACTAACTAACGAACGAACTAAGTAGCCAACTAACTTGCCACCTAACTACTTAACTAACTAACTGACTAACTCACTAAATAGCTACAGTAACTAACTAAAGAATGCACACAGATACAGACGTAAAGAAACCCACAAAGACATACAGACATACACGCAGACATGAAACCATGCATGAATATAGAAGTATGTACATACAGTCAGGCACACAGACCTACAGATGTAGAGACATACAGATATAGATACATAAACACATCCACCCATCCATCCATCCCATCCATCCATCCACCCATCCACCCATCCATCCGTCCATCCATCCACCCACCGATCCATCCAGCCATCCATCTATACATCCATCCACCCATTCCATCCATCCAACCCATGCAGTGTACGTATGTGTGTATGTATGTATGTACTTATGTATGCATTCTGTATGTGTGCATATGTATGTGTGTATGTATGTATGTATGTATGTACGTACGTACGTACGTACGTACGTACGTATGTATGTATGTATGTATGTATGTATATATGTACATTTGCTGATTTACTGATGTGCCTACCCTTATTTCTTTACGCAATTGCTTCGGCAAAGGCACGCGATTGCCCAGGGCTCGTTCTCCACCACCTCTGGCCTGCCCGGAGTCTCACCTGAGCACACAGATTTGGCTCCTTCAACGCTCCAGGCAATCAGAAAGTTAAGCGGTTTAGGGTTTAAGGGTTTAGGGCTTTAGGGGTTTGGGGTTTAGGGGTTTAGGAGTTCAGTGTTTCGGGGTGCAGGGTTAAGAGTTTTGGGGTTTGTTTTCTTTCTTGGTTTATGGAGTTTCTACAGGGTCTCTGGTCTCTAGACAACAATGAGGCGGAAATCAAAACGCTGCCGGGCCCGTCTCAGCCACTGCTGGCTCAGGCTCATCCTTCACCAGGGAATGGGCTGAAGCCAACGAGGCCAGATGCATAGTAGAGGGGCTTTAAATAATTATCAGCCCTGATGCAGAGCCCCTGAATTACAGCGTGAACCGTTTTCGGGGTGTGCAGTTTCAGGCTGGGTCTTTAGGTTCTTGGGCCCTAAGCCCTGAACCCCAAGCCCCTAAACCCGGCTTGATCGAAGTGAAAGTTTCCCTGCAGAGTCTTTCTTCTCTCCGTCCAGCACCCACATGGGTAGTTGTCAAAATTAGGGTCCCTTTTGGGGTACCCTAAATAATAGGCGCCGTATTCTAAAAATGACCCAAGAAGGGACCATAATTTTGACAACCACCCACATAGGAGTCCGTATGAAACCCACAACCTGCGGAACCTGGGCCCTTCAAGAGCAGTGTCGGGAGGACCTACGGTTGATGATGCAAACCCTGCACTACCCTTAAGCACCCTTTACTAGGGGAATTATGCTATATTCCTCATTATGGGTAATGCTGTGGGAATTATGGTACATTCCTTATTATGGGTAATGCTGTGGGAATTATGGTACAGTCCTTATTATGGGTAATGATAATGATAATGCCGGATTTAGATCATCAGCCGTAGCTCCGAACTGGAGTCCGAAATCTCAACACAAGACCACAGCGATCCGCGAGTTTACCCGGAAACTTTGAAGTGGATCCTTACTTTAAGGTATGTCCCTGAGGTAATCGTCGTTGATGTCTCTGAAGGTTCGGGGGCTTAGAGCGTTTTAGGGGGATTTTATCTTTGCGGTTTTGCGCAACTGATGGGTCCAAGGTTTACGGATTTGGGTTGAGCTTCTTTATGAGATTTTTCGCTTTGCGGACACCTGACCTAAACCTCAAACCTTCAACCGAAGCCATGAAACCTAAACCGCTACATCGCAAGCCCGTTTCTTCAGCCCTAAACCCCAAAGCCCTAAACCCTCTATGCCCCGAGCTCCAGCTCAAATCCCCTAAACCCTAGACTCTATAAGCCCTAAACCCTAAGCGCTAAGCCCTAAACCCTAAACCCTAAGCCAGCCGGGGCACAGAAGACGCAGTGCAGTTGGCCACTTTCCTGAAGAATGAGGCCTGGGCTTCGTAGGGTTTAGGGTTTAGGGTTTAGGGTTTAGGGTTGGTTTAGAGGTTTAAGGTTTAGGGTTTTGGGTTGAGGGTTTACGGTTTAGGGCTGACGAGGGTTCCATTGGGGTTCAGGGGTATGGGGGCCTGCATTCGAACAGGGTGTTGAGTAAGTTATGGTAGAAACATTTTGAAGGAAACCTGCTGAAGAATGTTGGGAGTTTAGGGTTTGGGTTTAGGGTTTAGGGTTTAGGGTTTAACCTATATAAACCCTAAACCCTAAACACTTAAACCCGAAACCCCTATAGTTTGGGGCTTCGGGCTTGAGCTTCTCGGTGGGGTTTTGCATGTGAAGGTGAGGCTTCTCCTGTGGCGAGCTCGGGTTCTTGGAAAGAGTTGAGGGTTTAGACGTCTATCTCGTAGAGTGTTCGGGTTTAGGGCTTACATTTTCTGGGGTTCTTGGATGAGGGTTTTAGGATATAAGGTTTAGGGCGTTTGGCTTAGGGTTTAGGGTTTACCTTTTTTGGGGTTCTTGGATGAGGGTTTTAGAACATATAGTGTTTAGGGCATTTGGCTTAGGCTTCCAGGATTAAGCAGTGCTGGCTTCGGGGTGGGAGCCGAATCGTAGGGAATCCGCTTTGTTGAAACAGTAGGAGTGCCTTCTTCAGAAGTGGGCGTCTCAAGCAAACCTGCAACACATGCAGTGGCGTAAATGGTTTGACATAGAGATCGGGGCGATGAGATCCCTCCTCAAAAGAAAGCGCAAGCTCTGAACCTGACAACAAACTCAACCCCTAAACCCTAAAACATCCTAACGCCTAGAGCTGAATCCTACACCCCAAACCTTACTTAGGTTAGATATATGCAGATGATTTTATTGGGGTCTGGGGGTTCAGGGTTCAGGGTTTACGGTTTAGGGTCCCTGAACCTGAAAGTATTCCCAAAATCCCTATGAACCCAGCGACCGTGACGGAGCAGGTCCATCTCGGTGAGGTTCTTGGCCGCCTGAATCCACTGAGCCTCCTCGCAGCTGTGCGGAGGTCAGAGGGGGGTCGGGTGGGGGGGAGGTTAGCTTAAGGTTTAATGTTTAGGGTTTAGGGTTTAGGGTCTAGGGTTTAGGGTTTAGGGTTTTGGGCTTTAAGGTTTTGGGTTATAAGGGAACAATATAGCAGTGCTGGACGGTCTGAATGGGGCTTCTGTTGGGTATTGCAAGCTGTTTATGGACCAGATAGGCTTTCATGGAGGGCGTCATGTCCGCGCGCGTCTGGGGCCTACGGAACTAGAGTTTGGGATCAGAATAAGGTTTTCGGCGGGGAACCCGGAGTAACATTGGTAACTATTTGGGTAGTTCTGGAAATTAATAGGGTCCCTTTTTGTGTCTTCCTCTATAAGGGTGCCGTACTACATTTGGGACCTAAAAAGCGACCCTAATTTAGAGAAGTACCCATTTAGGCTTCGAGATTTATTCTTGAGACCCTGAGCCCTACACCCTAAACCCCTAAACCCTCATAGGGACTGGCAGGGGATGGTGGGTCGCTGCCTCTGGGTTTTCGATCTCCACGAGCATGCCTGCGGCGAGAGCAAAGTCTGCGGAGTGCAGCTTGGGTTAGGGATTTAAGGTCTTAGGGTCGTTGGATTTCCAGTTTTAGGGTCTAGGGTTTATAGATCGGGTTTCTGTTCTCAGGCCTACTGACAGTATAGCTATTGCTTCTGCTAGTTAGTGTTAGTCTTTCTGAACAGAGCAGTACCCTAGTCCTATGAGTCGCAAGCAGCACGACTGCTATTCTGACTGTCATGGCTATGACCCTTCATCCAACTTTCTTAGCTTCTTTACCTGACATCTTTCAGAGCAGTGCATGACATACTGACCCAGAATGGGTCTTGGGGTTAGATGAGTGTATACTTGCATAGCGACTATAAATGATTATGAGTGTATTATTGTTTCGATATCGTACTACTTTCTTGGCCGCACATCCTCGTACGTACATGGAATGCCTCCAGGCCCGGCTTGCCAGCTTTTGAACGGTGGGGTGTCTGTAGCACCTCGAAACCCAACACCCGATAGCCTAAACTAAGCACTGAACCTAAAGCCTTCTGCTCAGAAGCATGGTGTCTAAACCGTACAACCTACAAACCTTAAGCCCGAAAGTTTCGCGACGTACCCAACATCCTTACAAAGAAACCTGCTGAACAAAAACAATCCGCAAAACTATATACAAGCCTCTAGATTGGCTTCTTTTTGGGGTTTGTAGTCTCTCTGAGATCAGGCTCACCCGACACAGCACCAAGCCCTTGAAGCTAGCCTTCGAGCCCATTCAAGGAACAAACCTAAACCCTAAAAAACCCGAAACCGTAAAGCCTAAACCCTATTCACTAAGCCCTTGTAGTACCATTACGGGACCCATGGAAGGCCCCCTTAAAGGAACCCTCAACTACCTCCCCCTAGCGCCTCCCGGAACCATTGGGAAGTCGGTACCGGGCCTCAGCGCTAGTTGCCCCGTGAATCCGGGAGGATGATCCCGGTTTAGCGATTCGGGTTTAGGGTGTTGTTATTTTTTAAATAGGGCTGCGCATGTTGTTGGAAGTTCTATACATGTTATCTTTTTCGCTACTTGGTGGTTTACAGATTTTTTGTGGATTATACCTGCATTTATACTACAGGCGCTTAAAGTTTTTATTGCCTGTCTTCAGGGCTTTGCAGGGGTTATATCATACGGTTTGGTAGATCTTCCAAAAGTTTTACATGCTTTAATCGGGATTTTAGGGGGATCTATCAGCGTCCTTTTAGGGTCCGTTAAGGGTCCTTCAGTAGATCTTCCAAAAGTTTTACATGCTTTGATCGGGATTTTAGGGGGATCTATCAGCGTCCTTTTAGGGTCCGTTACGGGTCCTTCAAAGGTTCTTGTGGGGGTTTTAAACAGGTTCTAGTATTAGGGCTCTAGAAGGGCTCTATATGGGTCATGGGTTTAGAGGTTTAAGCTGGGGGCCGTAAGAATTAGAATAGTGTTTTGGAGCCCATTATACTACATGTATCATAAGGAACCCCCAAAAGAGCATAGGCAATTATTTAGGCCCCTATATTAGGTGATCATAAGGAACCCCCAAAAGAGCATAGGTAATTATTTAGGCCCCTATATTAGGTGTGTGGCTTGCGGTTTCGGATTCCTGGGCTGAGAGCTCAAGATTCAGATGCTCAGGGTTGAGATTCTTATTTAGGGTTTAGGGTGTAGGGTTGGAGGGGTTTTTGGTCTAGGGTTTAGGGTTTAGGGTTTTAGGGTTTTTCGGTCTAGGGCTTAGGGTTAGGGTTTAGGGTTTAGGGTTTTAGGGCTTTTCGGTCTAGGGTTTAGGGTTAGGGTTTACGGTCTAGGGTTTAGGGTTTTAGGGTTTTTCGGTCTAGGTTTTAAGGTAAGGGTTTAGGGGTTTAGGGTTTAGGGAATTTGAACGTTTCGGCGCCTTCAGGAAAAGGAATCACCACTGAGCTTAGCTATAGTATGGTGCAGTGGAAGTCGAATATAGGGGCCTTCATAGTCAGAACAGAACCCTGTGGGCCCACTCTACTTCAAGTTGTAAAGGGACTACCATGGGAGATTCAAATGATTACTTCCGACCCCTGATACAAAAAACACTTGAGACCACGAAGATCTCTTCGCGTCGCAAGGCACGTGGCGGAACCAAGAATCCGGATCAGGCTGACTGCACGCCAGGGTTAGGGTTTAGGGGTTTAGGGGGGCATTGAGGGGGTGAGCATAGAAGCCTGAATAATCATCCATACTTTTCCGCAGAGTGGTCCGAAGCAGCTACAATGTGCCCAAGGTTCCTTATGACAAATATTCATGATCATGTACCCCCCCCAAGGCATCTACTTTTGCACTAAGGCCCTTGCATTATGGAAATCCTTTGAGTAGTGCTACCTTTTGCCCCCTGGTCTGGGCCCCTCCTCAATCTCAGATACATTTCGTTTGATTGCCACTCCTATCCTGAGGTTCCTCATTATGATCGTTGTATAAAAATACGATACCCCCAAAACCCTATTCTACTTGTTAAGGCCCTTAGAATACCATGCTTCCCACAATCTGAGCGGTATGAGTCTAAGGCTCGAAGGGCGCTCCTTTGCAGTCTAGACGGGGGTTCCATGCTCAGCGATAATATACGGGCCTAGGGTTTTAGGGGTTTAGGGGTGTTTATCAAGCTCAGCTTGGTCGTTAATGTACCGTGATTGGAGAGACCTAATTTCGATCGCCTGGAGGGAAGCCACAATCGAATCCTAGTCACAGTCAAACCTCTTAAAGAACCCGTCCTAAACCCTATAAACTTTGCACCCTGCCTAGACTACCCTCTAATATGCCTTAAATACTCACTATTAAGGACTCACCTTTACGCCCCACCCCTAAATCCTAAACCCTGAGCCTTAAGCCTTACACTCCCGCTTGCCGTGGACGTGAAGCCAAGTCATTCGCACTGGAACCGGCGGGTGGATGAGGACGTCTGGTTCCGGCTGCCTGTCATGTGGTAGGAGTTCTGGTTTAGGGCGGCGTTTGACGCTTCAGCTTGACGATTTGAGCTGAAGCCCTTTCTTGGATCCCTAGTGTAAACCCCGAAGGAAGAACCCTGGTATAAACGAGTTCACGAAGACATACTGTTATCAAGGGGTTGTGCAATCAGCGGGACACAGAATCATGCAGCAACCTCGGGTGCAAACTAGGACTCCGTCATCCAAATTCCCCGTGCCGTTGGGTTGATACTTGGGAATCGCACGTCGGTAACCGACTGGGGTCTACAACCCCAAACCCCAAACCCCAAACCCTAAACCACAAACCCTAAACCCCAAACCTCAAACCCTAAACCCCAAACCCCAAACCATGAGGCCCCTGCCCCTAATCCCATGTCTTATCTTGAGCTGAGAAGCGCGTAAACCCTGAGTTTCCAAGCCCTCGTCCGAGGCTTACCTGATAGTTATAGCAGTTATAGTATAAGATCCCCCAAAACCCAATTCTAATTATTAAGGTCCCCAGAATAAGCCTAAACTCAGATTATAACCCTAAACCCTAAACCTTTAAACCCTAAACCCTAAACCCTAAATCCTATTATACACCCTTAACCCTCAAGCCTTGAACAAGTAGAGCAGGTCGCCCAGGCATGCTGTGAGGGTTTAGTACAGGGGCCTCAAGAATAAGGGTTTAGGGTTTAGGGTTTAGGGTTTAGGGTTTAGGGGTAAGGGTCGACTACAGTATGAATGTAAGAAGGTGCCGTAAGGGATACCATTAATTATACATCATGTACCGTAACCTACCAGAACCTACTTTTTTGTAGGGTCCCTATAATTCCCATATTAGGGTTTATAATAATAACCTACAGAAAAGTGGATTTTGGTAGGTTAGGGTAGGGTTTGGGGTTTAAGGATAAGGACCCCCAGAAAAAAAATCCTAGGCGCTTAGATGTATTACCTTCGCAACACCTGCTGCTCGCAGCCGCTTCGGAGAAGCAGCTGCTCAATGCAGCCGCGAGCGCGCCACCGTTCAGCCTCAGAATCCCAGGACTCCCTGTGCCACCCCCCAGTGCCATTCCATCTATAGAGCCCTCATGGTCCCTAAGCTATTTGGGGTAGATTAAAGAGTAGTTGAGGGCAAGGCTCAGGGTTGAGGGTTCAGGATTTCGGGTTGCGGGTTTAGTTTTTTGATGAGGTGCTTTCTTTGAGGATTTTGGGGGGCGAGATCAACACACTTCACCCTTTGGCGGAGCAGAAAGTGAGACCCCCACCCTTTGAGTTTCCACAAGAAGCCGGAAGATCATGACACCCTGCTTGAACTAAGCTGTTCAGTAACCAACTGGGAAGAAGTAAATACTTTCTTGAGGTAGTTATACTATATTCGGAACCAGTACCCAAAGAAAAGTAAAAAAGGATACTACTGAACATCCTAGTGAAGGTGCACCAAGGCTAAACCCTGAAGCCCAAAACCCCAGTAATGGATCTACTTTCAAAACCCTATAAACCCTGTAATCCCCTGTAAACCCTGAACCCTCATAGATCTATTAAGGAGCCCCTAAAGGAACCCCCCACCGTAAACTTTCTACGGTTTGTCTGGGTTTATGAGGCCTGAAGGTGGGCATGCAGGTTCGCCGTTACTTATGGCTATGTACGGTTTAGGGTTTAGGATTTGGGGCTTTAGGGCTTATAGGGTTTAGGGTTTGGGGGTTTAGGGTTTAGGGTCTCGGGACAACAGGTGGCTAAGACAGGCAAAAGTGCGGATAAGCTACTTGGAGCTCTACTTTTGAATACCGCGACCCGCAGAGAAGGAGGGAGGCCGCCTAGAGTCACAAGTAAGCCCAAGCGGTATTACTTAAAGGATCATGGGACTTAGTAAGTAGGGTTATAATTAGGGTAACTATACTTATAACCCCAATTAAGGGACTTAGAACCTTACTTACTAAGTCCATGATCCTCCAAGGAGGGTTTAGGGTTTAGGGTTTGGGTCACCGACTTGAAGTTGCAAGTAAGCTGCTGCAGAGCTGTCTACCCAGAACCCTAAACCCTAAAGCCTTTGTCACAAGCCTAAACCCTAAACCCTAAACCCTTTGTCACAAGCCTAAACCCTAAACCCTAAACCCTTGTCACAAGCCTAGGCCCTACACCAAATCAGTAGGGCTTCGTGTTGAAGGGGCCGGCACGGCCAGGATGAGGGGAGGACATTACCCTAAGGGTCCAAAGGACCCAATAATTGTGTACTTGGTTTACAGACAGTAGTTATGTAGGTTAGTATTTGGGAGAGTATATGATTATTAGGTACTTGGACCCTTAGGGTTAAAGCCGGTTAGAGCCGAGGGCTTGTGATGGCTTGTGGCTTTCGGTTTTGGGCTTCGAGGATTACTCTAAGCCCTAAACCCTAAGCCGTAAACCCTAATCCTAAACCCCAAAACCTAAACCCTAAAGCCCTAAACCCCAAAACCTAAACCCAAAGCCCTAAACCCCAAACCCTAAGCCCTAAACCCTAAGCCCTAAAACCTATGCTTCGGACATACCAAGCCCCACATCCTGCCAAATACCAGAGCCCCAGAGCGCTTCTGCCCTAAGCCTACACCGCTGTAGGCTCTAGGGGTATAAGGTTTAAAGGTTGAGGGTCTGGGTTTATAGGGGTTTAGGGTTTAGGGGTTGCGGGTTTACGAAAACCTGTAAAACCCGTATGATGCCCTGAAAGGACCCATTTCGACCTCTCACAGATAGAGACAAGACCCTAAACCCTTAAACCCTGAACCGAAAATCCCTAGGCCCAAACCATGAGTCTTTCTGGTGGGTACTCCTTGGGTCCCGACGATTTCGGGAAGTGAGGACGAACGCACTGAACAACGAAGAGCTGAACGATCCGTGGGTCCACGCCCTTCCAGGGTTTAGGGTTTGGGGTTTAGGGTTTCGGGGTTTAGGGTTTAGGGTTTAGGGTTTGCGCGATTACCTGCTGAGTCGATATGAGCATCGGTTCTCAGTTTTTTTTTTCCGAGCTGGGTGTGGTGCCTATGTGTGCACAAGCCAAGGCATAAAGGCATATGTTGATATTATTGTGTGTGTGTCTATGTATACATCTTTTTACACACATACAAATGTGTTATATGTATATGTGCATATATGTATATATGTATGTATGTATGTACGTATGTATGTATGTACAAATGTATGTATGTATGTATGTATGTATGTATGTATGTATGTATGTATGTATGTATGCAGGGTGTCTACGCTCTTGTGGGTTCCGGCAATGTTCCAGCCGTTGCCGCACTGCCTGACCTTTTACC